AGGGATCAAATACTTATTTCATTCATGAAAATGCAAATTACTTTATAACTTTTTTGTAATGCATTTTTCTGGATTTTTTTGTTATTGTTGTGTCTCTCACTGTTCACATAAACCTACCATTGACATTGTAGACTGATCATCTCTTTGTTAGTGGGCAAACTTACAAAATCAGCTGGGGTTCAAATAATTTTTTCCCTGACTGTAAATCAGACAGGTTCAAAACTACATCTACAACTTTAGGATTACCTAACTTTCTAGCCACTTCAAAGGCAGGTTCTGTTTCTACACACACAAGCATGCAGACACACAGTTTCCACTCTGCATAGTCATGAAATGAGGAAGGCACAGCAGAAAGTCTTGGCATGATCCGGCTCCATATTAAAAGTAAACACACACAACATTTATAAGAAAAGCAAGCAAGGGGGCAGGTGGAGGTGTAGGACATCAGAGGGGACCTTGACTAGTGTCTTGGGGGCCGTAGACCACAATCTTTGTGTTGACCCTTGTGGCTCTGGGGCCAGACGCTGAGGGGGGAGCTGCAGGAGGCTTAGGGCTTTTTCCAGAGACCAAAGAATCCTCTTCTTTTGGAAACAAGAAGCACCGGAAAAGTAGAATTCATGGCAGGGGAGCAGAAAAGAAATTAGAAAGAGTTGTGATATGCCACACAGTGAAAATCAGCTTCTGTTGTTTGAGTGACTATCTACTGTGTATCCTTGATATTCAGTTCACCTCCATGTGGTGGAGCTCACTATGGGGAGGAGGGAAGTGGGAATTTAGTAGGGGATTAGCACAAGAACTCTACTACATTATCTACAGTACTTAAGTGGAGGGATGTGAATACGTGCTTGCAAAGGGCTTGAGAGTGGAAGTGAGAAGCAAAGTACCGAGAAAAATAAAGAGAGGATCTGGAAGGTAAAGCCAGTCAAACACTAAAACATTCTGAAATGTCATCATTTTTACACTAGGTTCGAAAAGCTGGAAGCCTGTGCTCATCATGACCCTGAGCTCATCACACACACACACACACACACACAAAGTGAACCTTCAATTTACTAGAGTTTCTGTCATTTCTACTGGAACACTGCCACAAGCACAAGGGAATATTTCATGTACAGCTGTGTCTGAACCAGTGGAGATGCCTCTGAGGCTCCCCAGCTAAGAAAGGACCTTTGCGCAAATGTTACATTTGCTACATGTTAAGAACAAGACTGGCAACAAATATTCCTGACACTGAGCATGTGCACCTACATTTAGATGTAGGTGCACATGTGAGCCAGTGGGAACAATACCAGGGCCCAGGAACACAAATGTTCACAGCCAATGTTAGTGTTAGTAAATAAGCCTGCTTCCTGTATCACAGACACTCAGTAGCTTATACCATAGTGATCAGGTAGAACAAGACTTTAAACACTTAGGAATCATCATCATCATCATCATTGTGCATCTTCACTAACAGGGGTAAACTCACACCGCACTGCATTGTGGGATTGTTAGCATATCATAGTGTTTATGAGTAGCCACTAATGTGAGATGTGTGTGATTAGTGAGATGAAATCATTGTTTCATATGATTGATTCTTTTTATATTTTTCAGAATAGACTGCACTTGCTATTTCTGATGCCCAATGTAAATTATTTTTGATAAATAAAGAAAGATGGTCTGGAAACGTCTGATCTAAACTTAAATTATGAACTTACTGGCTAATAAAGGGAAGTTATGGTGTAGAGCTAGAACAAGAACTTATTAACAGGACATTTTGCAATACTTTCAACAGCTACTCAAAAATACAGCTGCCAGTTCAACTTCACACAGAGAGAAAAACATTTCCCAGAATTAAATTATTCTGTTTTCTGTGGTGTTTAACAATTAGCTTTAATAGTCTGCAACTGTGAGCAGCTTCCACATTTCATCTGTACAGTGCACTGTTAGACAACAGTCAATCAGCACCACAATCAAAATCAAATGTCTTTAGCTTAAATATGAACCTTTCTGGTTAGAAGTCATGAAGATTTTCAACGGTCCAGTGATTTCGTATTTTTTCTCTCATTTTTATGAAAAGATCTGTGTTTGAAATGTCAAGTACCAGGAGATCCTGGGTCAGTCAGTTTCCAACTGATCAGAGCTCTAACCAGCGACATTAAGGACAAAGACCTGGTTAAGTGTGAAGGGCTTTCCAGCTGTGATATACCCATTTAATTGTTGGTGTTCATGCTGCCTGGCAGCCACTAACCTCTGGTCTCTGTAGGTGCTGTGGTGATGCTAGTGATGTGGGAGGCAGTTGATGACTCTGTGCCACTGCTTTCAGTTACTCTCTGGCCTGCACACATTGCTTTCAGAGTCTGGAAGACTGCTTGAGGAGCCACATTCATCTTCAACAGGTCCACTATGATCCTAGTAGAAGGGGAAGAGTAAGACAATCAGAAGCAGGGATTCCCCATCTTTACTCCTCCATACACTCTGCTAAACTCCGACTTACTTGAAAACCTCTTGGTCCACGGTGATGCCTGCTGCCTGGGTTAATTCAAACAGCTCAGTTTCTTCTGCACTCAGCACTTTCTTCTTCTTTATGGCATATTTCTGCACGTTTGTGGTGACCACCAGCGCAGGGGAGTCAGGGGCGGAGGGCACCGTTTGCTGTGGTTGCTGAGACATTATTGCTGAGTATCTGAGAGGAGGTGCATGTTTGGGGAAAAGGAGAATTAATAAGGTAAATTACAAAAAAACGCGAACCGATCAAGCTGTACGGTGTCGCACAAAATGAAAACGAGTAATTTACTTCGACTTCGTCTGTAAATATTACTAAACATATGACCAAAACAGACTGAAATCTGATTAGCATACCAAACAACTGTTTTATCAAATAAATAATACCTACCTCCTAATTAGCGGTGATAAACCTTTAGGACTACTAAAACCAACCACAACAAACCCTCCTGCTTGAGCTGAACGAGGCGCGCCAGAAACACGTCATCACCTTAGCTGAATTATGGGATTTGCTGTCTGTAATAATGGCAAGTTTTCACATCCATGAAAAGACGTGGTCTGCCTACACACTGAACTTTGCGATGTAATTTCTAAGATATGTTTTGATTAGTCCTCAGTCCTGCATCTTATGTTTTGTTGTAGTTTATTATGGTTTTTATTGTGTTTGAAATTTTATTAAAAATTGAAACAATCTTACTTTGTGGTAGTGCGCGTGCGCATTAAAGAAGTCAGTAGCCGGATTCGCTTAGCGATTTCTCACTAATTTATAAAATACGACGTCTTAGTTTTATCTTACATTATCGCCGGGTTATTAAGAAGCTGTCACCTGTGGCACAGCATTGGAGGTCAGCCTATTTATGTGGAAAAACAAAATAAGAAGTGTAGGTCTTTGGTTCTTGTTACCATTGCTAACTCTGAGAGACGAGACAGTCCAAGTAACTTCAAAACAGTGCTGATTTATTCAAAGGATCACAGGTAAAATTAACATTACACACTCAGGTATCTTCCACCTCCAACCTGCTCGCAGGCAGATGTAAGATGAAAGACCCTGAACCCACCAGGCCTATACATTATATCCCCTCGGTTGGGCTAGCCCCATACTACACAGAAACGTCAACCGAGACGTCTCTGTTACCAGCTTTGCAGCTGGTCATAGCAGTAGTCAAAACATGAAGCAAATCAATGTGTGTGTGTCTGTTGATTAAGTGGTGTGTAGCTAAAAACATTCTCACGACCTCTAGTACATGTCGTGACTTAAACATAAGAACATATTATGGCTAAGGCTACAGTTCTACACGTCATAATAATAATATTAAACACCCTGTCTGCTGACAGTCATCAACTCTTCTCTCTAGTTATCCTTGACCAGATGTACCCTGTAGAAACTCATAAGCATGACTAAGCATTTAACAGTCTAACTAGACATCCTATCTCCACTAAACATTTCTAATACATAAAGTATCTATCCAATATCTATCTGACTAAAAAATACCTAACAGAAGGATGAAAGAACGACGTTGTATGCTAACGTGCTAAAGAGCGAAGCCGGAAGCACTTTTGGGATTGCTCTCTTGCACATGCTCAGTTCTCTGGGGTTCGTTTAAGAATGGCTGCTGCTGCTGCTGCAGGAATAAACAAGCAGGGCGCTCTAACGACGATGGAGACCTGCTTCCGACACGGGAGAGGAGCTAATGGAAACACGGTTAAGGTTGTTATATTGTCTTTAACATCCACAGCCAGATTATGTTTGGAGAGATTATGCTGCTAGTTTGTGCGAAGGGCTGAGCAGGGTTGCCTTCGTGGCTTCTGGTTTTGGGTGAATCCTGCTGCGTTGGCGGCGGTGGATGCCAAACCTTCTTTTAGATCGGATAAGATCTAAAGATTGTTTTAGAAGATTATTTTTGCTGCTTTCATAATTAACCTAGCTGGATGTATGCAAAATCATAGGGCTGGTGTTTGTGCCTGCAACATGCTAAGAGGGCTGGAGGTGTATCATCGCTATCTGGCGTCTGCACTGCAGCTCCTCTGTATGGAAGCATAGCTCAGCAACGGGATCCGGTTTAAAAGTAGCTGCACTGTGTGTATGCAAGTTAGAGCCTGTCTCTCCTAAATAGACAGCTTTTCAAGATCACAGATAGGAGCAGAAATCAGTTTTACCTGTATGAAATGCTGAGTCATGGTAACTGCAAAGGTGTTTGACCCACCTTAAAAGATGTTAGTGAATTCCCTTACATTAGATCAGTTTAATAAAGCTCATTAAAGATACTGAAATCTCACCCTGAGGATATTCAGTGACTTTAATTAAATATTTCTTCCGCAGTGACTGGCACACACAGGGGTTTTCTGGCAGTTATAATAATACCATTATAATCAGCTTTATAAAGTGTCTTACAAAGAAACTTTTGTCTAATAATCATGTCTTCATGTCCAGGTGCTGGAGTGTGGTGTGTGTGAGGATGTCTTCTCTCTCCAAGGAGACAAAGTCCCTCGTCTGTTGCTCTGTGGTCACACGGTGTGCCACGATTGCCTCACCCGGCTGCCGCTCCATGGCAGAGCAGTTCGCTGCCCCTTCGACAGGCAGGTCACTGAGCTGGGTGAGTGAGTGAGAGCATTGTTTTACTTTTGTTACCAGTACACAGTGAACCATGCCAAAGAATGGTTGAGCTCCATATTAAGGATAAATAGTGTTTGACCCTTCATTTGGACTTGCACCGTGCAGAGGAGCATCAGGCCAGGCAAAGAACAGCAGGTACTTACAAAAACATGAATATCTAAAGTTCATTGAAAGCCACTTACTGTAGATTTTCCTGGTTCATTTAAATAACATTTAATGGCTTGCCCTGGTAGGCTAGTGGTTAAGGCGCAGTGCTCTTGCGGCTGCGGCCCGGGTTCGAATCAGGGTTGCGTCAGGAAGCGCATCCGGTGTAAAATACATGCCAAATGTCAACATGCGAGTCGTCAGTGTGAGGATTCGCTGTGGCGACCCCTAAACGGGAAAAGCCGAAAGTGACTTTCTTACTATTTAAATAACATTTAATAGATTCAGTTGAACCTTGTTCAAGAAGCTTTTCTGCATCAGGAACTGATCAGTTTGCCATCATGTCACATACTGTGTGAATTCTGCTCTAAATCAAGAAAATTGTACTGGATAACATCAGGCGTTCCAGACAAGGGTGAAGTTTGATGAGATTGTGGTGAAAAGATATTGATTTTCTTCTTGTTCATTATTTAAGGCAGTTGTGTGTGGTGTTAATGCATTGGTTTGCATTATAGTGCAAGATACTGAAGGTTTTCCTTTGGTCCTTTTGAACAAAAAAAGTCAACGTAACTGTTCAAAGTGATGATTACGCCGACTCATCTGTTTCTCTGAACTGAGAGTGGATCTTTTCATGTCATTGTGTTTTCTTTTCTTCAGGGGACTCTGGAGTTTGGGGTTTGAAGAAGAACTTTGCTCTGCTTGAACTGTTGGAGCGACTCCAGAATGGAGCCACCAACCAGTCTGGGATGGCGGAGGATGCTCTGAAAGGCATGGGAGAAGTAAGCAAGCTGCCATTCCACAGCTCAGATACATGACCTTCACACCTAAGCACCTTTCATTCACAGTTCTTCTCTTCTGGGACTAGTGTATAATCCGGTGTGACGAGGACGAGAGCCACACAGCCTCCATGTACTGCACCGTGTGTGCCACCCACCTGTGTGCTGAGTGCTCCCAGCTCACCCACTCCACTCGCACTCTGGCCAAACACCGCCGGGTGCCGCTGGCCGACAAGCCTCATGAGAAGACCCTGTGCCCGCAGCATCAGGTCCATGCCATCGAGTTTGTCTGCCTGGAAGAGGCCTGTCAGGCTGGGCCTCTCATGTGCTGTGTGTGTAAGGAGTACGGCAAGCACCAGGGACATAAGGTAAGAACGAGTCACTTATTAGACACCCTCGTCCAAAGAGACATGCTCATGCACACCCCAACTTTCTTTCCAGCATGCTGTTCTGGAGACTGAAGCTAATCAGATCCGTGCATCCATTTTGGACATGGCCCACTGCATCCGCACCTTCACAGACGAGGTGTCCGAGTACTCGAGGAAGCTGGTGGGCATCGTGCAGCAAATCGAAGGGGGAGAGCAGATAGTAGAGGATGGAGTTGGCATGGCACACACTGAACATGTAAGATGTAACATAGGGCTTCTGTCTGAATGCTTGTGCTTTTCTTCTGGAGTTAACATTGTCTCTGTGGCTTCGTCAGGTCCCAGGCACAGCAGAGAGCGCACGCTCCTGTGTCCGAGCATACTTCGCAGACCTCCATGAGACTCTGTGTCGGCAGGAGGAGATGGCGCTGAGTGTGGTGGATGCTCACGTCAGGGAGAGGCTGATCTGGCTGAGGCAACAGCAGGAGGACATGACCATCCTGCTGTCTCAGGTGTCCACTGCCTGCCTGCACTGTGAGAAAACACTTCAGCAGGTAAGAGACGTGATAAACGCTGAGTTCGGTCAAGGCTTAGGTCTGCACTACCGGGCTGATGTTCGCTCTGTCTGTCCTGCTGCAGGATGATTGCAGAGTTGTGCTGGCAAAGCAGGAGATCAACTGTTTACTGGAGACACTTCAGAAGCAGCAGCACCAGTTCACTGAGCTGGCTGATCACATCCAGCTGGATGCTGGCATCCCTGTCACCTTCACCAAGGTACCGTACACACTCATAGGTATTCCTGGAGATTTGCATTGATCGGCCAGATCACCCACTAATATATAAGCACACTGCTGCCAGCATGTACCAGTCCAGTTGAAATTGGTCGTGTTTTCAGGACAACCGGGTCCACATTGGTCCAAAAATGGAGATCCGTGTAGTGACTCTTGGGCTCGATGCAGCTGGAAAAACCACCATCCTCTTCAAGCTGAAGCAAGATGAGTTCATGCAGCCCATCCCGACCATTGGTATGTTCACTTACCCAGTGAACACCTGATTCTCATCCACTGGAAACAATTCTCTTTAGCATTTTTTTAACGCAGCTTGTTTCAATCCTTTCTTTTGAAGGTTTCAATGTGGAGACAGTTGAATATAAGAACTTGAAATTCACCATCTGGGATGTGGGTGGAAAACACAAGCTCAGACCCCTCTGGAAACACTATTATCTGAACACTCAAGGTACAGTTTCTGCTGCACGTACTGTGCGTATTTTTGAAATTCAATACATTTTTTGTTTGAGTGTTTCCCTCCATAGCACAGAATTAAAGCAGTACCTCAGTTCAGATAGACATCACACTGGGAACTGTGGAAACAGATGAATCATGCAATATAAAAAAAATAAATGAAAGGCCATTTGTTTGAAAACCAGTATTAACAGAGATAAATGAATATTTGGCTCACTGGAGCAAGTAAATGGAGAAATGCAGGGTCTGTATTATGTGATTTGAACTTAATCACCATGGTCAGTGAAGCTCTAATTTCTGTCTAATGTGCCTTTAGTAAATACCGTATGTGTATTTTATATTTCACATTAATTCAGGCCACTTTATATAGATCTGCTTTCACTTTGACATTAAAGGGTCTTTTTTTTTAGTTGACCAGTATAAAAAAAACACTAATTTGATTGAATGTTGAATCAACACAGTGCAGGGACATTATTTATATGAGCTTTGTGTAATAATTCACCCATGAATGATTTCCATCAGTGGATGGCCTGTTTAAAAATGTGTTAATAAAGCTGAAGCTCGTGTGTGTGTGTGTGTGTCTGTGTGTAGCGGTGGTGTTTGTGATCGACAGCTGCCACAGAGACAGGCTCATGGAGGCTCACAGTGAGCTGGCCAAGCTGCTGACAGAGAAGGAGCTGAGAGATGCTTTGCTGCTCATCTTTGCAAACAAACAGGTGCTGGATTAATACCTGTAACTGCAAACTGGTAATGTATGAGCAAACAGAGTGGGGCCGAGGTGCAGCTTGTCATAGTGAATTTCTGTAAAAACTAACAAAAAAATTGATTGTTTTACCAGGAAAACCTTATTGATATTACAAAAATCTTTTACAAGAGAGTCCTGGGATCTGTAAAGGCGTTTTCCTGTTATAGGAACCAACCAAAACATGTTGCGCCGAGTAACGTTCGTCATGGGTTCTGCATTTGTTTCCACTACGGTGCGCTTTGGAGGTGCATTCTGGGAGCTAAATTTTGGCACCCCTCAGTAGTTAGTACTGGGAAAGCAGGACGGTTGGTGTCAACACCGGAGGCTTTGGTGATGGTTAAGGGTTGTAGGTTCTGATAGTGGAAACGCAGCATACTTGTCAATAATATCATTGCCTTTGCAGGATGTTCCCGGCGCTGTGTCCGTGGAGGAGATGACTGAACTCCTGAGCCTACACAAGCTGTGCTGTGGGAGGAGCTGGCACATTCAGGGCTGTGACGCCCGCAGCGGCATGGGCCTCTACGAGGGCCTGGACTGGCTCTCCAGACAGCTGGTGGCTGCCGGCGTCCTGGACGTAGCCTAAGTGGCCCTTCCCTCCCCGGTCTGACTCTGCCCCACCGACTGAACCCAGACCCCAGCCTTTGGCCCCGTTTGTCAGCGCTTCTATGACTTTGAGACTGCAGCTTCAAGCTTCATCTTTCTGTGGGCAATAACGTGTAAATACTCCATCTAGCTTCATTTCATGGGAAAATGGAAACTACAAAACTGTCCTAAAGTGTCCACACCACCCTCCCAATGTGGAAGAAATAAACTCACTGGGTCTAAAACATGACTCCAAGCTCCCATCCTGCTTCATTTTTAAGGCAGCTCAGCCGGTCTAACACTAGTTTTTCTATGGTTCCCCTTTTTAGCTAGCTGACTTAGGTCCAGTCAGGTGTTAGAAATGCTTCTTGTGCCCTGACAGTGGGTGTCATTTCATGTTACTCACCCAAACACCATGTGAACTAACCTCAGCTAAATGCAGAGTAGTTTGTATCAATGATAGTACCATTTACATACCTCTTGCTGATCCAGTGCATTACAGGTAGTAGTGGGAAATCAGACTAATGACCTTTTAGTGAAGTCCAGTGTACCTGCAGGTAAAGTAGGTGAGATGAGACTGAAATGTTCACTATGGACTGATGGTCAAAGGTTTGGGTTTTGGCTGAGCTCTCAACTTTGCCTTGTTGTCTAATGGAAACAATAGCAGCTGACGTTTCATGGGGTCTTTGTTACATATGTGTGGAAGTTCATTGTTTAAGTGTATGGGCATATTTAATGGCACAGCTGGTGGTGAAATGGCGCACCAATAGAGTTTTGGTTTGAATGTCGTTTTCTGTTGCAGAACCGTTTACTGAACTTACGAACAGGAATGTGGACGTTACTTTGATACGAGGCAGTTGTGAGAAATTCAGAGTTTTTAATGCACCGATTCTGCCTCCGTTTTGTGGAGTGTCTTGCACGCAGAATTTGTGAAATGCACTCGTCTGCTGCTTCACTACCAGCTTTCATTTGGAAGCAAATGAATTATCTGCTGTTTCTTAGTAGACTAAGTATTAACCTGACTGCAAAAAACTATCTTGTGAAAAAATTCCTATTTAAACATCTCATGCAGGTTGTGCTGACCCATCTGGAGCGCCGACACGACGGTATGACTTTAATCTGCAGCCTTCAGTAATGTAATGTGAAACTTAGTGTAACATTAAACCTAACGCTGACTCTTGTTGTTGAAGACCTGTCATTTGAGTTAGAATCTTTATTCATTGCTATGTAATGTTTACTACTTGTATCTGTTTTTAAAAAAAAAATGCACGGGAAAAGTCTTTCCATATGGTTTGTGAAAACATTTGCATTTGTTTTTGAAACATAAAAGCACAACGCACATTGAAACCTTGGTTACCAGTGGACTAATAATGGCTTTTGTAAATTATTCATAATGTGATGCTGTAAAATAAACGTGTTGATCTTATTCTTTGGCTGGGTCCATCCTATATACCGCTTATTCCTGAAGAGGGTCATGGGGGCTGGAGCCAGTCCCAGCTGACATGGGGTGAGAGGTGGGGTCCACCCTGGACAGGTCTCCAGTCTATCACAGGGCCAACATGTAGACAAACCACCACACTCACTCCTATGGGCAATTTAGAGTCGCCAGTCAACCTAAGCTGCATGTCTTTGGCCTGTGGGAGGAAGCCGGAGCACCCAGCCAGGTACAGGGACAACATATAGACTCACCAGGCTTTCTCAGTAACTACACAGCAAACCTCCACCAAGGCAGCCCAGTTTCCCCATAATGCCATTCCACCTAAAAGCATTATTCCTGTTAGTTTGACCCTCATGGTTCCCATGAAAAACCACCCCCATCATTTGTAACCACACTGATATCATAATTAGTTTCAAAGTTAATCAAGAAAACCCATATTTCTCTAATGGCCCTTTTCCTCAGGATGTAGCTCAGTAACTTTTTAAGGTACAGCAAATCTGTCGACACCTACCGAGTCAGAGGAGTCTCAGCTAGAACCTGATCCTGGTTTCAAGTCTGTAGCATTAGGTTTTGTCTAACTGTAGCTCATAATGGTGAAGAATAAAATATTTAGAACCAAAATCTAGTGGATTGTTCTGTGGGTTGTACCCCACCTCTCCACAAGAGTTTGTTAAAGTCCATTCATTACCTTTTGATCTATGCTGTGAACAGCCCCACAAATACCAGTAAAAACAGAACCTTCTTAGCAGAGGTAACTAACAAATCATTCTGACAACCACACACTCTTTGTTTAATAGCTGTCTATTACAAAACACATCAATGTACAGGACACAATAAATTTGGATGATCACTTTATGGTGATGTTGATAATGCTGATGTCCTCATACGGTTTGTCAGTCTTGGGGTTCACCTTGGCATTGGAGATCCTCTGGACTGCCTCCATGCCTTTCGAACACCTTCCAAACACAGTGTGCTTGTTGTCAAGCCACGGCTGGGGAAAACAACAGTCGCTGTAAGATATCTGAACAACTCAGTAGACATGAAATCTGTAACACTGCTGGCTTCACCTGTTAAAATAATGTTTCTGTCATTCAGACATGCAGCAGGTGAATGTTGTAACAGCACTCAGACATGACAGGGCGTTTAGAGGAAAATGCTCGTGCTGTTTGGACCTGGTGTGAGAGAGGGATGCAGCGGCACGGCTGGAGTACAGCAGTGAGTTGGAAAACTCACACCAAGCAGGCTAAATGTCCTGTTTCTTTTCTCTTATAGGCTGCATCAGTGAACAGGCTTTAACACCTGCTAAGACTCAATTCACTGACAGACGTGAGACTGTGAATTGTGTCTTTTCATCATACTATTGCTTTAAGTAAAGTAAAAGTAAAACAAGAATAAGATGTGCATATTCAACACTGGGCTGCCGTAGCCTTCATGTGACACTGATGGTATTCACATCCTGTGCCATGTTGGAAATGTTGCAGAAATGTTACTACAGACGGGTGACAAAAAAAGGAAACCATGAACAAATGAGTGATTGGATGCTGTGGCCTTCCCAGTCACCAGGTCTCTGCCCAGTTGAACAGCCATGGGAGAGGTAGGAGTTACGTGTTAGACAACGTCTCCACCACCACCATCATCAAAAACACCACATGAGGGAACATCTGCTGTTCATCCCTCCAGGAGGGTTCAGAGACATGGAGAGTCAGTGCCAAGGTGGAGCTGTTCTAGTGGCACGTGGTGGCCCAGCACCTCACTAAGACTCTCTGTGCCCTGGTTGTCCTTTTACTTGTCACCTGTCTGTTGGTCCAAGCTAGTCACATTGCCTTTGCACCTTCTACAGAATAAAAAATATGTTTGACAGGGGCTTTAGCTGGGTTTGCTGTTGTGAACTATGACTTACAGTGGGTACAACAGTGATGAAAAACTGTGAGCCATTGGTGCCGGGGCCCGCGTTGGCCATGCTGAGTGTGTACGGGCGGTCGTGTCTCAGCGTGGAGTGGAACTCATCCTCAAACTCTCCTCCCCAGATGCTCTCTCCGCCCATGCCTGTGCCCGTGGGGTCGCCTGTCTGAATCATAAAACCCTGCAGACACAAGGACTTAGATCAGGGGTGCCCAAAGTGGGGCCCGTGGGGACATTTCTTGGCCCCCCACAATTTATTATGCCACCCCAGTTGTCAGGTCAAGCATCTCCCAGCTCAGCTCGCGACCCGCCAATAAAACAAGGAGAAGAAGAAGAAGAACAACAACAACAACAACAACAACACAAACAACAAC